ACTTTTTTTACTAATTTTTTAATCATACACAAAAAAAAAATATTCACAAGAGTTTTTTTATTTCTTTGCTAATAAAATTTTAATATTTTTCTTAAAAAGTTTAAAATTTAATTTAAAGAATTATTTTTACTCTTTTTTTATTATTTATTAATTTCTTTATCCAAAAATATGACTTTTAATTATCAAGAAAAATCATAATAATACTCTTTGATATCAATAAAAAAAAGTTTTCAAAGAAAGAATAACTAATTGTAAAATAATTAAAAGTTTTTTTAATATTTTAAGCAAAGTCTTATAAAAATTTTGAATAGTAAAAAGACTTTTTTTCTTTTTTTTTGACTATCTTTATTCTCTTAGAACTTCTACTTTCACAATTTTTTAAGAAATTTTATTTATTTCAATTTGATCTTGAATTTTATATAATATAAATCCTTATCAAAAATAATTGATTAACATAAAATATATTGGTTTTTAAAATATAAACAAACTTTTATTGATTAGACTTATATGTTTTAATGATATTATTGATAATTAAAAAAAATATTTAAAAAATATTTGTTCTACAGAAGCTCAAGTCTCTTAAGGAAGACATTTATAATATTAAAAGATTAAAAAATAGATAATATAAATTATAAATATATATATATTTTTTAAGTTTCTCAAGTGATAATAAAGTTTCAATGGATAAAAACTAAAATTTAAATGCTTTTCTTGAAATATTCTAATTTAATGGTTACTTAAATAAAGGATCAGTTAGATTGACTTGTTTAATATTGCAAATTATAATAAAAAAGATTTCTTTTGAAGTTCAAATAAAACAAGAAAAATATTTCAATTAGATAATTCTTTTGAAAAAAGGATTTTATTTTTTAGCTTTTTTGATGGAACTTTGAATTGTTTTTCTATCTTAATTATAAATCTTTTTTTTTTTTTTTAACTTAACAATTTATTGATTTTTAGAGTAATTAATAATGACAAATTGTTAACAATAATCCTGATAGATAGTAATTAATTCAACCATATTAAGAGAGCATATAATATTGTTTCTAAAATCTGACTTAGAGTACTTTTGTATAAAGATGAGTTGGTTACTTTGTAAAAATCTATAATTTATTGTAAATTTTGATTTAACTTCTTAATAAAAACAAGCCATTGTAATATAATTGTGAATTAAAATAAAATAAAGTATAGTATTATATAATAATATAACTTTTATGTTATTAAAATATTATATTTCTTTTTGCTAATAAAAAAGATATTTATATAAAATCTTTTGACTTTTTGATTAATAAGTCTTAACACTATTATAAATATTATGCACTCTATTTACAAATTAAAATAATAATTATTGTGACATAAATTTAAAGGTAAAAACATTTACTTTCTAATTTGTTATTATCAAAAGATCTGTTTTCAAGAGAATGAATAAAAATCTTTTTATTTGTTAATTTATACTTGAAAATTATTAAATGCAATGACTAGCATCCATTAAAAAAATTAGTGCTCTGAGGAAGCTAGAATAAATATGATCGTCTTGATTTTCGAAATTATGATTTGATGTTACATTTAAAAAAAATTTTTTTGACATCACAATTTGGATGCGAACTTATTATTGTCCTCGGTGTATAATTTGTCAATCTCCTCGCGGAAATATTCCTTAGCTGCGTGGCGCTTAACTTTTAGACTATGCAAATCAATAATAAATAAAATTTTAGTCAAATTGTTGACCAAAAATTAAAATTTAATCAGTATTCTACTCACGTCGGGGTCAATAAGTCATTATCGATAGAAAATGGGATGTGAGTAAGATGAATGGCTTTGACTAACTCGAAACTGTAATGCATAAAATTAACAACAATTATCGAAAACAACGAGCGTTCGCTCATAAACGCATGATAACTAAATAAATACAAACCCATTGAGTTTGGCATGCTTCCCAACTTTGTTCATTTCTTCCAAGAAAGCTCTCTTTACGTGATCATTTTTGGTAAGAGATTCCAATCCCTTCTCATCGCCTAATGAAACGTTTTGTCCGGTTAACGCATTCGCCCATGGAACAAAAGTTTCCGGGTCCGGAACTACAATGGCGACAAGATGATTTCGAAGAGAGTCCCCGTGCACGAATATTTGTATTATTAAACCGGAAGTGGCATAAACATTTTCAATCTGTAAACCCCAATATTGTGTAAATGAATGTAAACCGGCACTTTCAAAGTCCTAACAAATTGCGATCACACACCTTTTCTGGGGCAATATATTCTCCTTGAGACAGCTTGAAAATATTTTTCTTGCGATCAATTATGACCACAGCACCTTTAAAACAAGAATCAATTAATGATGACAAAAAGAGTAAGTTTGTAAAATAGGGAATCTGCATGATTCGATAAAACAATGATCTAATCGAATTAAAGTAGAATTGTATTTTCTAAATAATTGTCTTGGCT